GGTTTCTTTGCCCCACTCAAGGCATTGTCAGTATTCAGTAACTTGCGCTTCTTTATGTTGCTCTCAATCGTCTCACCCGCAGTGACGATGTTAGAGAATGTAGAAAAGCTACTTCCAACCATCTTTTTAAGGTATCAAACTTGTAAAGTTCCTATGAACATGTCTATCAACTCCTTATCAAGGAGTGGTGGTTGAACTCTGGCAGTGAATTTCCTCCAACATTGTGTATATTCTTTAAAGGTCTCATTACTTTGTTGCACTGTGTCTTGCAGTTGAGTGTGGTTGGGTACCAGGTTAGCATTATACTTATAATCTTTGTGGAATGCTTCAGTAATATCCCTCAAAGACTGAACATGGCCTCATTCCAACTGCATGTACCACTCCAATGATGTCCTACTGGGGCTATCTTGGAAGTATTGAATGAAGAGCTTGTCATTATTAATGTAGGAGGCCATCTTGCAATAATATGCTCTTAAATGAGTACGTGGGCAACTAACCCCTTTTTAATTGTCAAAGTCAAAGAATTTGAACTTTTAAGGGATGACCAATCCTAAGACTAGGCACATGTGAAGGCGCAAAAAGTACACAAGAAGGGGGGGGGGGGGTTGAATTGTGTTTTGAGTTTTCCTTAATTTACTTCTGATCAGAGTTTCAGAATCAGAAATGATGTTCAAATTCTGTTTTAATTCATTGGCAGCGTATATAATAGAAGTAAACAAATAACAGCAGAAGACACAATAGATTTATCCTAGTTTCTCCCCTAACTGATAGTACTCCAGTCCCCTTGCCTCTCAAGAGATTTTCATTATAACCACTTCATGATTACAATCGCTTATGCTTCCGCGTAAGTCTTTTACACTTGCTCAGACTAATTTTCTGAGACTTTCTTGCTTAGAGCACATGTCTAAGACTTTCCTTGCTCACACCTTCTGACCGAGCCAACTGCTCCAAAGATCCTCTAGTTTAGACTTACTCTTTCTTATAACACATGTCTAATACTTCTTGCTCACGCCCTCTGATCGAGCCACCTACTCTTCTGGCCATCTAGACTGATACTTCCTTGCTCAAGCTGCACTTGAGACTTCCTGCTCACGCCTCTCAGACGAAGACTTTCCCTTGCTCGATTAGACTAGCTAAATAAGACTTTCACAATTTAAACACTTAAGCAATGAGACTTAAGTGGCTTAAGAATCTTGGCTCAAGACTTGTTGCTTGAATCCAATGAGACAAGACTTCTGCTCAAGCACATATCAAGAGACTTTGATCTAAACTACTGAAGGCTCAACATAATAGAGAACAAGGTGTACATGATACAAGTATCAGAGGTATGAGAAATCGCCACAACAAAGACCTAAAGCTTTTAATATTTCTAAGATATTCATTGGTAAGAAATCTTAAGGCTTTTACAACTACAACCTATAACAGAAAATCTACATATTACATTAGAGTTGATAATTGCTTGATCTTGGTACTCCTTCGTCTGGAGAATCCTTGTTAAGATTCAAACTTGAATCTTCAGCCATATTTATAGCCTTTGCAGAAATTAGCCGTTGAGGAGATAACTTGATCAAGTGTCTTTGTCTTTATTCCATAGTACAAGAGACGTTGAAGATGGATGCACAGTAGATTATGAATCCAGTGTGTAACACGTTTAACCATTGAGTCTTTAAGAGGTTCTGTACTAATAGAGCCGTCGAGAGCAGATATTCGTAGAGTATGCCAATCTTTCTTGAGCCTTGCAATATTGTAGATTTTAGATGACAAGTTGATAAGACAATACAACTTGCTTTCTGAAGTTTGAATAACCATAACTTTATCACAAACTCTGAATGTCACTAGATGCTGATATACAATTACCAAGTGTAGTAACTCGTCTGAATGCTGAGGTCTTCAGCTCAGAGTCTGCGCCAAGCCAAACTAGCAATTTTTCTTCAGACTCTGCCACCAGAAGTTAGCAATGAAGCAACTTCCAAGTGTGTCTAAGTAAAACAGATTCTGATTATTTATGTACAAGAATAACAACCTACATAAGTAAAACACACATCAAATAAACCATTGTTCTTTCAATACTTTTGTTATCATAAAAAATAAAAGAGAATATGTCATGAACAAATCTTGTTCTAACAATCTCCCGCTTTTTAATGATGACAAACACAAGTATTTAAAGGACAATGTTGGGCATTTCAGAAGGCTATGTGACAAATATCCAAATTTCTTGAAATATGTTGAAAGTACAATTCTATATCAAGTGAAGGAGAATATTGATTATGATTGGATCTCAAGTTAAACACTTCATAAATATAACAACTAATAGAGTTGGATATGCCTATGGTTTATTTAAGATTTGATTGGGAAATAATAAAGATGAGTTGTGTAGAGATTATGACTATATGAACCAAATGATCCACATATGTATAATGAGATACACATATCATTTGGTCACAACATTACAGTGTTAGAACACGTATGTAGAAACAATAATCTTTATTCATAGTTGGTGGGCAATATATCTCAAGTAGGATTAGATTTTATTTTTACGAAGCTAAACAATATGAGAAAGTAGGTTCAGATAGCTCAAAGTATGGTTGTATACTTAGGAAAACATACAATATTCCATGTGCTTGTTTAATTTCAAATAAGGTAAAACTTGATAGCACAACACAAATGGTTGAGGTTTACAACCACTTGAAAAGGCTCTGGTTTGATGATGGTGGTATGATGAAGGAAGGTAAATAAAATATATCTATCTTGACAGAATGAGAAGTTATTCAAGATAGATTTTTGAAAGTCGATGACAACATGAAACTCCATATTAAAGAGCAACTGAGGAAGATTACCTATCCATAAACCACATATTTGAGACCATTCTCGCAACTGGTAAAAGCAATGGGTGTTCCTAAGAAGATCAAACCAACACCGTATGACAATTCAACGATGCAATCCTTGTCCTATTTTGAACATGTTGACACATTTTTTTTGGATTCTCTGACCTCAAAATCTCAAAAAAATGTATTTAAAGGCGCTCGCATTAGAAAACCACCACTTTCACCACCTATACAAAAAAATCAAACACATTGAAGAGATTTTTGTTTTTATGCATAAATACATAGAACTGGTTGTAGATGTTAACGGTGACAGTAACTACGGTCATCAAGTTGTTTCAACTTTGTTCAATAAAGTAGAGGAAAATCATACACTTGTCCGCCAACAACTTATTAAAGAGTTGAAGCCACATAAGAAATCATACATAACACTATATGAAAAAAAAATATTTTGATACAATTCATGAATATCTTGTTTCTTGTGTTAGTGGTCTAACACTGGAGGAAAAATGGTCGCGCTTCTTTAAAATAAGTCATCTTTTAACAAATGCATATAATAAGGTGTGTATTGATTTTATAAGATACAGATTCTTGAAAATATTTTTTCCACTTCAAAGTACCCTTATTTAAAATCCAACCAGACACATTATTTGAAATCGGGATGCCATATACCACGTACATCATTGGAGTGGACAACACATTCCATAAAGAAAAATGGAACTTGGCCGAATAACTTTTTGGATAGGATGGAAGAATTTACCAAGTTGAGCGAGATTGAAAGATATTTAAATAAGCAAAAGTCAAAGGCAGAATCACCCATAAATAAATATTTAAGTGGTGACACCTATTTTGATTTATTTTAGTTTTATCTAACAATGTATTTATTCGATGACACATGTTTTGTATGTAATGTTAGATTAGTATTAATGGTGTAAACTATATAAATTTTCATATGATGTATATTTAAGTTTCTTATTTTTTTAAATAAATTTTTCCTATCTTTTTGTGTTTCATAATAGCTTTTGTTTCTGTATCAGATTCTGTGTAAACAATTTGAGGTTGAATCCAGAAATGCATTTTCGAACGCACCTTATTTTCTAAAAATAATGCTAATATAGGTTTATTCAGAACTACATTTCTGCATACATCCCGATTTTACTAAACGAATCAAGTTGTATCCAGAAGTACATCTCCAAAATATCATCTGAGGCAGGATTGAGTTTTTAAGGTCCATGTTTGTCTAAAACTTGTATAAATATGAGAGTCTCTCGTATTGTTAGCACAAACGCACACAAAATGTCTTAATATTCATATAACGGTTTTTGTCTACTTCAACAATGAGAAGTCCCCTCTTGAATTTAGGTTTATAGAGATCAACCATTTTGTCAATCTAAAATCCATATTAGAGAATCTGTACCTAAACAGTCGAAGAGTTATGAAATCCTATTATCGTTCATCCTCAATTGACAGAGAATGAAAGATACAATTCAACAAGTTTGAACTGAACATGGATGAAAATTTAACTGTTATGTGGACTACATTTCTCTGTTACAAAACAAAATGTCCGATGAAGGGGAATATAAAGATTGTGAGATTAATGGAAGATATTCTAAAGATGTTGAAACGTCCTCAATCTTCACTTGATGCTTAAATATATTGATAGATTTATGTTAACAATATGCATATCATGAAAATGATTGCTATTAATTTATGTTAATTTTCTACATATATTTATATATGTGTTTCTGAATTGTGAAATACAAACGATTTTGGAAATACAATTCTAATTTTTTTTAAAGATTTGATGCATTCGAAAATACATTTTTGTATTTAAAAGATATTTTGAGATTTTTCACAGGTGTGAAGAAACACTACTTAAAAAAAGGAGAAAAATAATAAAAAAAAATCACAAACTTAATTAATCTTTAAAAAAATACAAAATAAATTTTATTCCAATTGTTTAGTCCTCTAAATATTTGATATTGAGAGTAAAAAAAAAATCAACATTTTTAATAATGAATTAAATTATGAGGCAAAATGCGATTAAAAAAACTTTGGAGTTGTCGATGGAGTAACTAACAAGTGACTAATCCTTTATGTGTTTATTTTCACATCTTGGGTTTTAAGCCGTCTCTGTAATTCAACCACGCCCCTCATTCACCCTCCTTCCTCGTTGCGATGGATTCCGTAGCTGAAAGCCAGAGAACTCTGTATGTTTCCTCTCTCTCTTCCTTCATTCATCAATACTCTTTCGATTCGATTTTAGGGTTTCTACTTCGAGTAATTTGATTTTTTATTTACTTTTTTTCTGTGCCCTAAATTTTGATTTCGCATCTTTAGGTATCCGTATGTAACTGGATCCTCTGTCGTTGCTATCAAATTCAAAGATGGGATTCTTATGGCCGCTGATATGGGAGGTTTGATGCTAAATCTCTCTTAACTTCACCTTTTCAAACTGGTTTTAAATCTAATTCTCCTGAAAATTTCTTCATTAGGGTTTTATTTTCTCCAAAAAGTAATTTTTTTTTTCAGTTTTTTTGTTGTTTCCTTGTAAAAAATGACATCTCTGTAAATTTCTTTGAAGTGTTTAAGTATTTGTCTCACTCTGTGTATTATCAATGACGATTGATGGATAGAATGAACTAATGGTGTAGGTTCGTATGGATCTACGCTGCGTTACAAGAGTGTTGAGCGTTTGAAGCCTATTGGAAAGCACTCCCTTCTCGGTGCTAGTGGGGAAATAAGTGACTTTCAGGAGATTATGCGCTACCTTGATGAGCTTATGTGAGTAATTTTGTTCAAGTAAAATGTTTAATGTCATTAACTGTGAGTTGATTGTTTCAAATAAGTGAAGTAGAGAAGGGTGTGATTAGTTAAATGTTATGCAATCAGCTTCATTTGATTTGTTTGGCTGATTTATATACTTGTTAAACACCGTATAAGGCTCCTCCTACCGTGTATTTTACCCTCAAGTTTGATATTTCAGAAGTTCTACTTTCCTGTTTAACTGTTGTTTTTGACTGCTGCAGCCTTAATGACAACATGTGGGATGATGGGAATTCTTTGGGGCCTAAGGAGGTGCACAACTATTTAACTCGGGTGATGTATAATAGGCGTAACAAGTTCAATCCATTGTGGAACTCACTTGTTCTCGGTGGTATTAAAAAGGGGCAGAAGTACCTTGGCACGGTATGTCTTGCTTGTCTTGTCATTCAGTCTAACAGTTGAGGTACCTGTATGTATGATTTTTGTTTGTTGTATTTGTGTATCTTATCCAGGTTAATATGATTGGCATTAATTACGAAGACAACCATGTGGCAACTGGGCTTGGAAATCATCTTGCTAGGCCAATTCTCCGCGATGAGTGGAATGAAAACTTGTCATTTGAAGAAGGTGTCAGGTTACTTGAAAAATGCATGCGAGTGCTTTTATACCGTGATAGGTCTGCTGTCAACAAGATTCAGGTTTGTCCCGTTTCATTTTCTTGCTGTGTTGCTTAGCTCAGTTCTGTTCTCTTCTTCCCCCTTCCCATTTACAACTTATCGAAGTATACTAATTTAAGATTAAAATACTAGATGAACTTGTAATAAAGTGAAAAAGTGAAATGTTCATTGTTCTCTATTCTGCTAGTAGTTAAACAAGCTCAGGTCGAGGGCCAGATGCTACACTTAGGAAAATGCTTTTCATATCTTACATTCATCTCTTAAGATCATGCTTAAATTTTAATTATTTTGGATTGTGACTGGAACTTGTAAGGAACCTGTTTGAAATTGAATGGTGATTGTTATATGCTGTTCTCTTAATTTTCTACACATGCTGTCACTGTCTAGTAAGCCACATTAGTTTTTTGGTTAGAAGTTTTAACAATCACATTTTATACCTTAAGAATTATGTGGTTTAGGTGAAAGCATGTCTATGGAAGTTCACTTGATAGCATTTTTGCTTCTATGTGCTAACTCAAATCACATGTTATCTAGATCTGTATGTGACATCCTCATGGCTCTAATATCTAATTTTAGCTGAAAGGATTGACAAGCTAATGGGTTTCTTTACATAAAATCTACGAATTATACTCATGAGAAACAACTTGTGAGTTCAGAATAATGAGGATGTTTCCTACCTTCTTAATTTCGGCTGTATCAACATAGCTTGCATAGAATCTTGACCACCTAAGAAGTGAAGGCTTTACATTAGTAGCAAAAAATAAATGATTATCTAATGATGATGGTGATGGTGGAAGTACCGATAACACTGATGGAACCACGATACTAATTGTCAATATTGGGGCCTCAATCTTCAACTTTATTCTTGCAGACCGAAGAAGTGGATACTGATAGAGTTATGACCTATGGAGGGACACTTATTTTAGATAAAGAGAGGGAGAAAATAGTTAATTTGGGATTTATATAGGTTGATTTGTCACTATATTGTCAATAGCGTGCTATAGAGTAGCGGTGGCAGGGTTTGGTGCACAGTGCTTTTGCCTGCAAGCCACCATCAGCAATAACGGTTGTTGCGGCTGCTAATTGCAACCCAAACCGCCATTGTATCTGCCAATTTCTCAAATCCTTTTTTTTAAACCTTGGTCTTTTATTTATGGGTATAAATTTCAATTTGAACCCTGTTTAGGGTAATGTTCTGCTATTCATTAGATTATGTTCTTGCTCACAAACATTCGTTGTACTCTTCCTATTTTAAATTCAGTTTTGTTATGTTCTCTGCTTAGTTTTTTTGCTCTATACTTTAGATTCTTAATTATTTTATGACACTCTTTAATTTTGTGTATTTTTCTATTTTTGAGTTTTGTGTACTTTGTACACTGAATTTTAGTCTTTGCAATAGTGGGAAGCTATCCAGCTATCCATTACACCACCATAACATTTTCGAGAGCCAGTGTTACGCAATGCTATCTGATTAACAGCATAGATTTGTATGGATGGGGGTTTGCAAGATCTTTCACCTTTAATGGCTTTGAGCTTGAGTTCAGTTTATACTGTTTCTCATTGGGTGATTGTTTTGCTCGTACCTTTATTTTGTATGTTTCTGTTATTCTCTCGGTGATAATTCAGTCCCCTTTTATACAGCAAAACTTACCTATCCTCTCAGTAGTAATTCAATCTCCTTTTAGACAGGAAAACTTACCTATCATAGAGCCATTGGTTTGTGGCTGCACCTGCTTACTAGTCTAGCATGTATGATTGGGAATACACTAAGCTCTGTTTGATCCGACTTATTTTGACTTCTCTTCTCCTTAATAGAAGATAGGCCAAACAATATTTTTAAAAAGATTTTAATTTAAAAAGGAGCTTAATAGAAGATAGGCCAAACAATATGCTTAAGAAGACTTTTATTTAAAAAGAACTTTTCAAAAAGTAGATGAGAGGATTTTTTGGTATCAAGTAGGAGATCTTTGATGATTTTATCTTTTCTTTATTATTATTTAACTCAAATTATTTCATAAAAATCTTTAAAGCAAAGTAAGCCATGTCAAACGGAGTTAGATGTATTAGATGTGCAACATGAATACACTTGCATACTGTTATGGCCCAGTTAAGTGGCCTCAATATCTGATGAATGGCTGGTTATTCTGGATGGTAGTAACAGTACACCTAGATGATGGTTGTGTGCTTGTGAATTACCAGATATACTTCTCAGTCTTCTAATCATGTTTAGGTAGCTACCTCATCTTGTTCGGCATCCGCATAAAAGTTTCAATTTCTTTGACTGCACTGTACCCATTCCGCAGTGTTGGTGGTAATTATGGCAATCAGTTGCAAGTTTTATATTCTGATGCTCAAGTGTTATATTATATTTGTTGAATATGTTATGTCGGGTTAACTATGAACCATCACTTCAGTCTTTCTATCAGTAGTGTATCAGAAGGACTGGATGAGCTAGGATCTAAACTTAATGACTTTGTTTCCTTCATTAGTTGTTGGATTATTCTTCTTAATGATGTTGAATTTACAGCTAAACTTTATGATGATGAATTTACAGATATCTAGAATTACTGAAGAAGGTGCTACTGTTTTCCCACCATACTCTTTGAAAACATACTGGGAGTTTTCGGCCTTCAAGAATCCAACAGTTGGTGCCGAAGGTTCATGGTAACTTGCTTGTTGTGAACTATAACAGAATTTTAAATGGATTCCAACAGAACTATTTACTGGGTTGTATGGATATGAAATGAAATGAGACAGCCTTCTGTAGTTAACTGAGACTCGAGTTGGGCGTTTATTATTTCTTAAATTCTTGATGGTTGTTTGAATTATTCATATATCCTCAGAATTTCTATTTCAATTATCAGTTTTCTTTCAGTGACATGCTTATTAACCATTTTTGTGAATTGTTTTCTGCTTTTTTTTCCTCTCCCAGATTTTTATTTTCTCTTATGAACCTAGTTTATAACCATTTTAGTTTTGAAATTATATTGACAATTTGGTTCTTTAAATTTATGAAATGATAAATTAGTCAATGAAATTGAAAATTATCAATTGATTTTCCATTTGCCACTCGATTTGATAAAATTGATATCATTAGAAGTCTTAAATAATTTTATGAAAAACCGATTCATTCGAGCATGTCCCAATTAACTAATTGTGTAGATTTGAGGATCAAAAACAAATTCATATATATTGGTTTTGTGAAGGATTTTCCTCCCTTCTAATTTAAATTGAGTTTGTAAAGGTACAAAAAATTGTAGTCAGCTGAAAATCTAACATCTTCTGAAAACATTTATTTATGATTAGAATAAAGTTATGAAGACTGTATTTTTTCAAAACAAGAAAAGTGTTGTTTAGATCATTTTCAAAATAATGTCGGGAGAAAATCTACAAATTTTTTGAACATGAGTTCAAATTCGCAACATATCACTCATTAAAAATAAAATTTAGACATTCTTAGAGAACTTCTTAATACATCTTAAATACTTTTTAACCATCACGTTAAATATTTAAATGCTTTTAATTTTTGAAAATGCATTTTCGGACGTATATATTTTTAAATAAACGTTGAAATATTTTGGAGATGTTTCTTTAAAACAATTTAAAATATTCAATTAATCCTACTCAAAAGCCATTTACGTTTAAATTGTAATGTAGATGCATTTTGGTGAATATTTTGGAGATATACCTCTTAAATGTATTAGAACATGTATTTTATACTATACGTTATTTATCTGTGTTCAGATGAAGTATAAAGGACAATCGAAAATAAAAAATAGATGTACATAATTCCAAATGGACAACAATGCCATACAAAAATAAAATATCAATAAATGTCAAAAATGTTGTACAATCGAGATTAATAAAATAGTAAGACCATCAAAATAAACTATAGACCATAGTACTACAACTATATAATAAGATACTACTGCGTGTATGTCTGACAACCTCTCATCTACCTCTTCGGTCATCAATTTCCACTGTCCTCCGACGATGTCTCTAGTACAACAATGCGCCATGTGCATCCGACATGATGGCATCTAGGACATGCCTCACATCAAACCAATTAGAAAAGATACCTCTGTCAATGCTTGTCAGCGCAATCTCCACTATGCAACGACACCTAGGCAAGACATCACCAGTATGATCTAACTGTGTCTGCTTCTCCTCTAGTATCTCCTGATGAGTTGGTCTTGGGGGATCTCCTAGACCAACATGCACCATGTACAAATATGACACCTTGAAGAACCATCTGATATACCCTTCAATGTAGCTCAAATCGCTATCAGCTATGGTAGCCCGTGCTTCCTCCTATATCAGATGACTCTCATAATCATCAAACATCTCCTCGATTTGTCTACCTGTCAAGGTAAGAGAAACATGGACATTAAGGTGTATGAGAATGGTCCGAGTGAAGCCGAACTACCGCATGACGCGCTCGGGCAGATGAGAAGCAGTTAGACGCGATCAACATGCCAACCATTCAGAGTATAACACTATCTCGTCAAATGGCCGCATCTGATGGTGATCAACATAGCTGTTGAAATGCATGTCCTCAGTAACCAAACAGTTAAGATAGACTCTGAAAGGCTTGACCACATGGTTTCCTCTGAGCGGGATAAAAGCAGTAACACGCAAAATATCCTTAGTGTACTCAGGTACACTCGCCCAACTAGAGATACGCGAGAAGTACTGTAGGATCTAAGCTGGAAACAAAAAGTTTGGAACACACGAATCATCAATAATGGTTTTAAAAATACGAAATGAAATGACAAAAAATATTACCGTTAGTAGTGTCACGCTGCTTGTGACCTGTTTCATCTTTCACATACACCCCTCTCTCAAGTTCGAATACAGGTAGACCAAGCAAGCTTCCCTCGAGTTGTACTCATGAGTCCGCTCGAGATCCACGAAATATCGTAGGCAGACGACGTCAGTATAAATGACACTCTTGTCTACAAAAATCACAGTGCCAACAAAATAAAGTAGGTATGCTCTCAATGCATGTGATCTGTGGAGCGCCAACTGCTCAACATCACCATCAACCTCCTATTCTCTAAGGATCTCATTCTCATAGACCATCTTCAGGAATTCAAATCTAGCATGAACACCCCTAGTCCTATCCACCTCTTTCTCCGCCTCCCCTAGATCAGTCCCAAGATACTCTACCATCATCTCGAGTGCCTCGTCTTTGATAATCCTCCTATGATCTAGGAATCTCCCCCTGATTGGAAGATTTAGGAAACACGAGACATCGCCGAGTGTGATAGACATCTCACCATGTGGAGATGAAACAACGAGGTCTCCGAGTGCTATCTCTCCAGAAATGCATGTGGTTGACCGTACTATAATTGGCCATGCACAAGTCCTTCAGGCCAGATAAGGACAAAACCGACTGAAATCAATCATCTTTCTGCTAAGGTAATGCAACAATCTTCCTTCCGTGGTTAAGAAACTTCTGGGGATCACGATCCTAAAATTTGTCAGAAATAATCAATGTCAGAAATAAACAATTCAAAAAATTAAAATTAATGTAAAAATAAATAAAAAATCCAACTAATGCTACCTCTTCGTCCCAAATATGTCTGACAATATGGTCTGGATATAGAGGTAGTAACGACAAACCAACTGAACCTTGTCTAAAAGCCCCTGGCTCAACATCCGCAGCAGCCTCACCCTTTGGAGGTGGCACTACATCAGTAGCATCATCAAGTGGTGGAATAGGAGGTGGGACTGAATCAGAAGCATCATCCTTAGGAGGTGCCATTAATGAATCCTGATGCCTACGGGAGGATGGGGGAAGTGATGCGTTAGATGGTTAATCCCATCTCATACGAAAAAAAGAAGATGAAGTGGCCTAAGGAGAAGCGCGAGCCCTAGAAGTAGAGAACTCTGCCTGACCAGAGGGATTTGGAGCCTCTAGAACCTATTGGCTCTTCTTCTGTCGAATGGATGCGCGCTGAGGAACCCTGCCATGCCAAAGTCTGTCATGTCTATCAACTATCATGCCTGTAAGTTAAAAAAAAGGCATACCATTAGTGCAACCAAACACACAAACAAGAAAATAAAAAAAATTCTGCAGAAAATTTTGGAGATGCATCTCTGGAATCACTAGAAAACTAAAACGTTGAAAATTTTTGGAGATGCATCTTCGGAATTTCCTGCAAAAAATTAAATGTTGAACAATTCTGGAGATGCATCTCTAAAATTTTCTGCAACTCAGAAGTTGCGTCAAAAGTGTAATGTACAAATGCACCATCAAAAAAATTTGTTTTAATCACCATTTTCAGCCAATAAACAACTTATACATTATGTCTAAACTATCTTAGATATGATTTCTATTCATTTCTAACCTTAATAATTAATTTATACTCATTTACACCACAACTCAAACATTTATCGAAAACTATTTTTTTTACTTGAAATTGATGTGTCTGATGAAGTTGGATGATGTTTGTTGCTACTGCGAAAATCGAGGCCGGCAATGACAGAAGAGTCGCCACCGTGCGTTATTTATCCCAAAGAGAGGGAAAGGAAACGCTCAGAGAAAACCTAACTAAAAGAGGGATAAGATCGGTCATCGCAATCAAATCTCGGGTTCAGGAGTCAGTTACGCAAGGGGAAGGTGTTAACACCCCTCACGTCCGTCGTACTCGACGGGACCCACACTTGTTGTCTATCTAAAAGGGTGATTGAAACTATCTAACTACAAGCTTGCGGGACAAAAAGAAAAGAAAAGAGACTCGGCAAAGCAACAACGCTTTGTGCCTACGTATCTCATCTGAAGTGAGAAGTCAGAGTCATAGTAGTTCGGCTAACTACGGGTGAAAAAGGGGGAAGGTTGCTCGCCAAGACATCGCGTCTTGTGCCTACATACTTTCATCTGGTATGAAAGATCAGAGCAAATGTAGTTCGGGCTAAAAGGGAACACAGGTTTGTTCAACTGTTTTACCCGAGTAGGGTTAACAATCAGTTCTAGCAGTTTGGTGTATGCAGCTCGACCATTGGAGACTTAGGCGTTACCGTTTGCGATAGAACCAAGAGTTAACAAAAATCTCCTTATGTAAATGATTTTCCAAGATTAAAGGCCCCAAAGGGCAAAAAAGAAGTTTGAAGGATTTGTTTTTGTATTTTTTTTTAGAGAAGAAGTGTTTTTGGATTGTTTGCAATTCATATTGTATTAGATGTCGCGGTGAAATTTGGATACCAAACTATGGATTAGTTTGAATCTTTAATTCATTTTGCAACCTAACTTTGATTTGTCCAAAGGAAGGGATAAAGATCAAAATTCCCACAATGCAATGCAAATGCAAGCTAGAGAGTTTTAGGTTCGGGGGTTGGTTAAACTTAGGGAAGGTGCTAGCATCCTAAGTTTCTGTAGTACTCTACAGGAACCTCTTGTTTTATGTTTGTTTATTGCTAAGGTTATCTGCTTAAAGGTTAAAGAACCCTAATGGTTTATTTCTAAGTATACTCGATAAGATTTCGCATCTTATGCCTACATATCCTTACGGAAATGGAATCAGAGTATTTTGTAGTTCCCCTAAAGGGTTTGAGGAGTTCTTTTACTGTGGTCAAAGTTCCTACGGGTTTAAGGTAGTTGATTGATTGATTTTAGGAGAAGAGATGTGTCTTCATTTTAAGGGAGATTTAACCGCCACAGGTTGT